CTACACCGGTTGCACTGCATCCGTATCAGCTTAATCAACAAGATAAGCAGCGCTCTAAACAAACCTGCAGGTACATTGTACTTACCTCTTGTCTGTGGTGACTTGTTTTCTTCAGACTATATCATACACATAGTGTTTCATCTGCAATTGTGTGTGGTAAGCATTTAGTGAACCGTTCACTCTCTAAACTTCCATCAACTAATGTTGGAGGGATCAAGCAACTTCCTTCCCAGCCTTCACTTGATAAAGAAGACAACTCAGGTACACTTGCTGTTGTTTGAAACACTTTTTAAAATTTTCTCACTAGCTGCCTGGATATTGGATCTTTTGGCTCTTCCAACAAACTTTGTGACAAAGAAATTAAGAGAGCTCAAGACAGTCTTTCAAAATTCGTTTCACCATGCTCCATGCATTAAAGTATCAACAAAAGGTCCACTTACATTGAAAGATCTTCAAACTTTAACTCCAAGTCAAAGTATGCTGTATTACATGTACATGTATTCAGTAATATTATTATTTTTGGTTTAGGTTTAGCAGGTGATGATTGTTTGCCATTACCAATGCATCCACTTGTTGTTGGATATGATCATGAATGGATGAGTGTTTCACCTTTGTCCGTACCAACCTGGGTTAGTTAAATTTATGAGTATCTATTTACATGTATAATCTATGTGTATTGTAAATTAATATGCTTACAATTATGCTGCACTTACTTCATTGCAGGATAAGTTGCTGTTTGAACCATACTCAACTCCAAAGCACGTCATGTACTTAGTGGTGTGTCCTGGAGGAGAGACTACTTTGGATACAATTGTTAACTTTTTCAGGAACCTTAGCATAACTTATAAGGTATTATTGTTTCATTGCCAGTGTTGTTTTGATACAATTATATTTCAGACTTCGAGACTTGGTTGTCATGTTCCTTTTGATAAAGGAGAATGGGACGAAGGAATTGTAACGGGCAGTACTAGCAAAAGAAATACTGATGAGAAAGATGAGAAAACAATAACTATTAAAAGTAAGCTATTTTTATTACTTCTTTTATGTATGTACTTGTACTACATTGTAATTTGATTCTATTTAAGGTGAAAGCAAAAAGGAAGTTCCTTCTTCGTTGCCATCATCTAATTTACAGAAGATGTGTAAAGAAGTGATAAGTATGTTTCTGTGGTTTTGTTTATGTATTATTTGTCTGCTTATTCAGCTCCATTTCTATTAAATCTTCCATCTGACAAGGACAAGTTGCTAGAGAATACATCACATGATGTTCACATGAATAGACAGCTTGCAAGGCCTGTTCCTGTCTTCATTGTATTGTACATCGTCATGAAAGAAAGTGAGAACCGGGTTACAAAAGCATCTGGGAAAAAAGATGAAGTGATAAAGGTCATGAAAGCCATGTCTTCATTACTTTCAAATGAGCAATTGCCAGACTCAATTAAGAGTAGGATAGTTATACAAGTATGCTTCCATGTTAACTTGTACGACTATAAAATATCTCTCATTCTATTGTTATAGCCACTTGATGAATCAGAGCTAATTGGGCATCAGGCAAACTCCACTCATAATCTGCGTACCCTTGCCTTTTCTGTTTTTTCACGGTGTTCACCAAATGCTGAGGTTTCATCAGATTTTCATCATCTTACTGGTTTTGGACCGATTTCAGC